TCTTATGGTTGGGTATTTTGAATAAATCTTTATTTTCTCGTTAACGTAAAGATCTCTGTTGTATGAAATAATATTTCTGTAGGTGATTTGACATCTCCAAAATGGGCCATTAAATTGGAATTCATGAAAAAGCAATTTCAAAATTTCAAAGTCCAAAGTTCCCATTTCCGTGACACCAAATACAGTATAATTTGAAATTAATTGACATTTTATGATTTAAGTTTTCATAATGTATGCATTTACGTTTTATTTGGATGGGTTAGAAATGTTGGCTAATTGTGATATACATATTCTTTGAGTGTTTTGGATAGTTGAAACCTTAAGAATTTTGGCGTACGGTTGAGCTTCTTGCAGTTGGAATGAACCATGATTGTTGCTCCACCTTATCATTATGGATAGTGTCTTAATTTTATGCAATAAGGTTGTTAGTTAGTGTTTGTAAAGATTTTGTTAGTTTTCTTCTTTTGCTTTTATAGATGGAATCTGGACAGCATTTTGATATTTCCAATTTTAACAAACCTACAACTGCTGCAACTGAAGAAGACAATGTAAGAGAAGGCGACTCTTTATCAAATGGACCTAATTTTGATCCAAGCTCGACCTATGAAAAGGAACCAGGCCGGGTTCTCATGAATTTGCCGGACGTCTCCTATATTTACAGACAAGATGTTGTAAAAAGAAAGACTAACAGTAAGATAGGCATTGTGACTGAAGTTGCTGGTGACTCAGATTCAGATAGCATCATAACTGACGACAAAGATGGGGAGAAGGAGGAGAACGACGACGAAGTTGGTTCTAATGAGGATGGTGAAGTGGATAATATAAATTTTGATGAAAGTGCTGATGAAATTACTGACAATAATAACAGTAGGAGCAGTCCTCTTTCCACTGACCAAGTTAGAGTTCTCTGGATGGATGAGTCTGAAACAACAGAAATTAATACTGACGTGACAGTTGTAGATAGAGGATTTTTAGATGGGGATTATGTTGCTTCTGTTTCTGATCCGACAGGTCAAATAGGTATCGTTGTTGATGTCAATATCTCTGTTGATTTATTAACTCATGATAAATCTATTTTAAAAGATATATCAGCTAGAAACTTGAAACGCGTAAGAGATTTTACCATTGGTGATTATGTAATCCTTGGACCCTGGCTAGGTAGAGTTGATGGTGTTTTGGATAATGTAACGGTTTTGCTTGATGATCGCTCTGTATGTAAAGTCATGAAAGCAGATCCAGTCCTCCTAAAACCTGTTGGTAAGAACATTCTTGAAGACGGACACTTCCCATACCATCCGGGCCAGCGTGTTAAGGCAAGCTCCTCCTCAGTTTTCAAAAATTCTAGGTGGCTATCTGGATTATGGAAAGCCAATCTGTTAGAGGGCACTGTCACTAAAGTTACTGTTGGATCTGTGTTTATTTATTGGATTGCATCTGCTGGGTATGGGCCTGACTCTGCTACTACTCCAGCTGAAGAGCAGAATCCCAAGAACTTAAAATTATTATCTTGCTTTGCACATGCAAACTGGCAGTTGGGTGATTGGTGCCTTCTTCCATCATCTCTGATATCATCCTCCACATGCCTGGACAAGGAATTATCGATACTAGAGACTCCCCGTTCTGCTAAAGATGAACTGGAGTCTGCTGAAACAGAGGATGAGTCTGATGCAGAAGTGATGAATTCAGAGGAATCAAATGGGAACAGTAAACCAATGGCAAATAATGAAGATGCTTCTTTGGATATAAACAGTCAAAGCTTCGAGAATAATGCCCCTGAAGAATTGAACATATGCAGTAGTTCAATGTCTGTTACAAAGGAAGGTGTCCATGGGACCTGGTCCATTCAGCATAAAAAGATCCGTAAAATTGCAGTCAGGAGGGACAAAAGAGCTTGGAAGAAAATAGAAAATTTTGAGAGGGCAGTTTTGATTGTCAATACAAAGACGAAAGTTGATGTTGCCTGGCAGGATGGAACAATAAAGCAGGATCTGGAATCCACATCTTTGATTCCTATCGATAGTCCAGGTGATCATGAGTTTGTTGCTGAACAGTATGTAGTGGAGAAGGCTGCTGATTACAGTGACGATGCTGCTGAGATAGGACGTGTTGGAGTAGTGAAAAGTGTCAATGCAAAAGAGCGGACAGCTTGTGTTAGGTGGTTAAAGCCGGTTGCCAGGGCGGACGATCCCAGAGAATTTGATAGAGAGGAAGTGGTAAGTGTTTATGAGCTAGAGGGGCATCCTTACTATGACCATCATTATGGAGATGTAGTTGTTCGGTTGTCGCCTGTTTCTGTACCCGGAAAAATGGATTCTTTCATTGAGTCTGTTGATGAACCAATCCAGATTATTAGTTCAAATAAGTCTAACCAAGATAAGAAAATGTATCCCAGAAGTAAGAAGGTACAGAGCTCATCTGCTGATGATGTGCCTAGTGAATTTTCAGATCTCTCTTGGGTTGGGAACATCACTGGGCTAAAAAATGGTGACATTGAAGTTACCTGGGCTGATGGGATGATCTCGACGGTATTTCCGAAGTTTCCCATGTTACTCTGTTTTTTATTGGGAGTCTAGTTACATTTTAAAGCTTTTTTGCTTGTTTTATTTATACATATATATCTCTCTCTCCAATGTTTCACAACTTGAGCGGTTGAAGTTTCTGGTTATATTATCTGGTTTCATATATTATTTTACCATTGTTATCAGTCAACTATACTGTTGTATACTTGTGGGCATAGAGAATGGAATTGGAAGAACGAAGTTAAATTTTTGTGACAACTGTGACCGCAAAGTTCCTAAATTTTGTATTCTCATTTGTTCCATCTAAATTTATGCATGAGATTTGTTGTAGATAATTATATTTCTTTTACGCCTGCTATGACACTGCATCTTGATGAGATTTACTATATTTTCTTTTGCCATGAAAAGAAAAGAATTTTCCATCATTCTTGGTTGACAGTCTCTGTTGTTATATCAGGTTGGTCCGCGGGCAATATATGTTGTTGGTCGCGATGATGATGAGCCTATTGCCGCTGGAAGTGAAGCTAACGATGATGCAGCTAGCTGGGAAACTGTTGAGGATGATGATTCGGAAAATGTTGAGAATTCCAAGCAGGCAAGTGGCTGCTGGAACTGTGGTTTGCATGCCCCAATAATTAATTTACTTTAGCTTCAGAATTTTACCAAATCACTTTCTTTGAAAAACCATAATATCAATCTCCGCCTGGCTTTGGATTGATGCAAAAACATTTTTAATAAATAGGCAACACATAGATTTTCTATGGATTCTTTGGTCCTTCTGAGTGTTACTCGAGCCAGGTGATAAAAATTATCATGTCTGATGCCTTTGTGGATGCATCCACATTAATTCACCTGCCCCAACATCAAATAATCTGATTTCAAATCCTTAGCTATAGAATCCACAGTGCCTTGCAATGGAAATTTTAAATATCAGCTTCCCTTTAGCAGACTATAGGTTGTTTAGTCTTGCCTCGACTTCTTACAAAGCTTAAAATTGTTTCTAGTCATGCCTGTTTAGGTTATGAAAGCGGCTTAGTATATATCTCAAGCTAACTGGCTTAATATGCCCTGCTTAATTTGATTGAATTAAAAAACGGAAGTTTCTTTTCTTTTGTGTTATCCGTTTTTGTTTAATTCGTATCAAAGAAGTTACTGACAAGCCAATTCTAGGCCTTGGTGTCATTTTCTACAACTGTATTCTGATAAGGAGCCGAATTGAACCTCCCAAGGGCAGAAGCTTTATTACAATGAAAGTTATCTTCTCTCAAATTTTACATTAACCTCTTTGGGAGAATTAGACACAATTTGAGAGTAACTGATAGCACCCCATTTATTTGAAAGTCCTTTCTACCGTAGAGCTATTTAATCTTTGCTGTGCTTTTAAAATGAAAAATCTGGGGGTTTATTTTGAGTCGGAGCCATGAAATTTCTGAAGTAAATGAAATTACCAGATGTGATGACCAGAATGCATTGTGATATATTATTAGTTCAAGCATCGTTTAAGTACTTTGGCTAACTTCTTAATGGTGTTTCTTTCTAAAGAATTAGCAACATGTGGCTATACAATCTTATTAATGTAAAAACTTTTGTTTCCAGCTGTGTTATATCAAATGTGTAGACGCATATTATATATCAAAGCCCAGGAAGAAATAGCTATTATGCCTTGTGGAATTTCATCTGTCTGTAGTTACTTCATATGCTGGTGATAAAAAAGCTGGAAATGACATTCCCTATAATTTGTACTTCGGAATATTTTTTGTTCATTTTTGTTGATATGCTGTATTTGCACATTGGTATGTAGGACCTCAGTACAGAAAATGCAACTGACATTAGGCTGGAATCTGAAGAAAGCGAGATTATTGCTGAAAATTCTGGAAAGAATGGAGCTCTATCAATTCCCCCTGCAGCACTTGGGTTTATGACCAGACTAGGCTCTGGAATATTTGCAAGGGGACGCCAGCGCTCAGATCTAATGGATTTGGATTCCCGAAGTGAAGATGAACTTCAATCTGAGGGATCCACTCTAGAAAGAGACCCAAACAATGAATCGAGCTCCCAGAAACCTAGTGATATTGACAATCATCTCATAAATGATGCAGCAGAGGCCCAAGATTTATTAGAAATTGCTGAAGCTCTTTGTAACTTGAAACCGCTAGGAACTGCTCCTACTCCATGTGACAAGGGCACTTCTAGGTTCGAAGGCTTTGATATTGTTAGAGGTCCTCATGACCATTATTTTCTTGGTGCACATGGACTGGTGAGTTCCATTTTGTTACACAGCCACCACACTCCCGAAATAAAAATAAAAAGAATGAAAGAATTAGTACAAGAAATTATGCATGTCTCCCAGTTTCCCCTATGGTTGTCCTCTCTTTCTTTCTTTTTTTTTTTTTTTTTAGGGGATATATGTGCGTGTGTATGAAGATAGAATGGATCTCTTGAGGGCGGTGATACTTGGAACTTATGGTACACCTTATCAAGAAGGGCTTTTCTTCTTTGATTTTCACCTCCCACCAGATTATCCTGACATTCCACCTGTAAGAGAACATGATATAGCTTTGTTTGCATGTCTTTCTTTGAAGCTTGGAAAATAATCGTGTCACATATCTAGCTTTTCTCTTGCTCACGTTGCATCAAAACCATCTTCTTTGTTAATACTGATGTTTTATTTTGTATCCTAATATCTTCATTGCTCTATTCGCAGTCAGCTTATTATCATTCTGGAGGGTGGCGAATAAATCCTAATTTATACGAGGAAGGCAAGGTCTGTCTTAGTCTTTTGAATACATGGACGGGCAGAGGAAACGAGGTCTGGGATCCTTCATCCTCAAGCATTCTTCAGGTCCTGGTTTCACTCCAGGGACTGGTACTAAATTCCAAGCCATATTTCAATGAACCGGGATATGATAAACAAATTGGGACAGCTGAAGGGTAGAAAAATTCGTCGTCTTACAATGAGAATACATTTTTGTTGAACTGTAAGACAATGATGTATCTGATGCGGAAACCTCCAAAGGTGATAAAAACCAAATTCAACTCATTTTCGCCTGCCAAGTTGCTGTTGCATCATTTTTCCTGAACAATCATAGACATTTGATTTTGGCTGAGTTCTTTGTTCTCACTGTCACATTACTT